GGTGTTTAGAAGTCATTTAGAGTAGTTAGAATCATTGGAAAGTAGTTAGGACACTTTAGAATAACTTAAATAGGCTAAACGACGAAAAATTGGTGAAAAACGCCGATCCAGGCGTGTCCCCAATTTACTGGGGCTCATTTTGGGCACGCCGCCCCAGCCTCCTAGCGCTATGGGGGCGCGTCGCGCGACCTGTTCCTCAGGCAAAATTCAGACGAATTTTTGATCGCGTTTTTTGGCCCTAAATCATTTTAATCCGATTCTTTTTCTCAAATTCACTTTAGATTCATGTACCCAAATCATATACAAAAAATCTCACCCAAACAACTCAAGGAAACAATACTTTAACATCGAGAAACTCCTTAATCCCAATTCATATTCAAGAATGAAATCAATTCAAGAACAACTTTAAGAACACCCAATTGTCAATCATTTTAGGACGAAAATACGCTAATTAAACATGCTTGGCGCATGGGTGAACTAACCCAATGCTATGTGATCTCACAGACCTTGTAGGGATCACCCCCGACGAAGTCCACAAGCTAAACTCGACGATCTTAACGATTTTGTTGCTTCTCCTTCTCTTTTCTCCTCTTCTCTAAAACCCTAACTCTTTTCCAAAGCGTAAAACTGACCAAGTTCAGTTTAGACCCTTAATTAATTCACTAAAACGAATTAAAATAAAAGGGTAAGGAAAAAACCAAACTACCCTTCAAAAATCCGGATTTGGACTTTCCTTAAACCAACAGCCCAACTTCCAAAGATCATAACTCACTCATACGAACTTGGAATCGCACAAACTTGACGGCGTTGGAAAGCTCATTCCAAGAGTTTTCCAACAATATCTGGAAATACACCTAACTCATTATGATCTAGGAGTTATGGTCGTTTGAAGTTGACCAAAAACTCACTTTAACTTACTTAAAATTTTCCAAATTTCCTTATACTTTCCAAAAATGACTATTTCCAGATTTTAAACTTTTTCTAGTTCTTTCTAGTTGCGAGGTGTTACACAGCTCATATGTTTAAAAATATTTACTCATCCTCAAACTTTGAGATTATTACTCAAAATGTTTCTCTTAAAAGAGATAGTACTCAAAACTCCTCGTGAACTCATTTAGAAATCGATGTTTCCTCTCATTTTAAATGTAAAAATATTTACTCTTGGGAATACTTAATTCCCATGTATTCATTTTGAAAAATGAAACTCAACTCTCATCATCATCATGCTCAAGTACTCAAGTCTTAAAACAAGTTTTAAAAGTTGCAAAAGACTTCTCAAAATGACTCGAAAGACTCTCTCAAACTCGACTCTTAACTCTATCTTGAATTTGAATTATGATTTATGATATGAAGGATCTCGTGATGATTAAATGGGGTTTAGATAGTTGATAATAAGAAATACGTGAAGACACTGATCAGAAGCAAAGGCGCGACGCGGAGATGAATCAACTTATTTGGTTGCGAAATAATTTTTGAAACAGTGGAGTCCGCGTTCTCTCCGCGACACGGAGAGGGAGGACATTTTTTGGGGACTGGATTTTAAAGCATGTCCGCGACGCAGACCTGGGCGCTTATTTTTGCCCGATCTTTTCTTCCTCTCCCAACCTCAATTCAACTCATACACATTGAAACTCTAAGGTCAAAATTCTTGAATTCTTATAACCCAGAACAATCTCAGCGAAAACCCACACAAAAACTACAATCATTCGCAACTCTCACCTCAAGAACTCAACAAGAACTTCATTATCAAGAACGAAGCACAAAACCTCAAGAACTCAAAACATTCAACCTCAAGAACGAAATTATGGATAAAAATCACTTGATTGGCGTGCCGGTGAACGAACCCAACATTATGAGAACTTACATACCTTAATTTGGCGAAATAAATCCCCGATTCGTAAGAAATCTTGGCGAATGCTTGAACTCCTCCTTGTTTCCTCCTCTTGAACTCCTCTCAAAATCCTAAGCGTGATTTTGAATTATGAAAACTGATCTAAGTCAATTTAGACCCCTAAAATATTTCCAATTTTTTTTAAAGCTGATGGGGTAAGGAAAAGACCTAAATACCCCTCATTAATTCGGGTAAATTTTCTTAACTGGACATGATGACTTCAAACGGGAATATCTCCCTCACCCAAACTCCAAATTTAGCAAACTCGATGGCGTTGGAAAGAGGATTCAAAGACCTTTCATTTGATATCTTATGTGCCACATAACTCATCATGTACTGAAAGTTATGGTTGTTTGAAGTTTACTCAAAACTCACAACTTAAGCTTAACTCGCATAAATCTCAAATTAGCCCTTTCCAAATTAGTTCTTTCTAATTTTAGCTCTTTCTAAGGCCGAGGTGTTATATTGTGGATCTTTAAATTTTTAATTTACAATATAGTATGATAAAATAATAACATAAAATTATAAAAATACATATAGTTTGAAATAACTACAAATATGATAAGGAAACTCATAGAAATAAAACTTCTAACATGATTATACAAGTATAAATAATCTAAAATCTTAACTTTCTGATAATAAAAGAATCATCATTTCTAAAAATATTTTATTATCATACTATACAAGTTACCCCCCCCCCCCCGCACACCCCAAAAAGAGAAAATAATCAATAAAACCTGCTAGTATTATAATGAAAACATATGAATAAAAATAAAATTACCTCCAAATAGATAAATAAAATATGATAATTTTGAGACATACACAAAAACATGAAGACCAATGATAAGTGAAAAAAGTAAAATTTCGTAGACTCACAGTGTTACGAAATATTAAATATGTGATACTACAACTTGTTATTTGGATTACTCACAATCTTCTTATTTATATAGATTTAAATAGTATTAAGTATCATTTATTTATTCAAGAATTATGAGGGTCAACAATGTTAGCTAAAGAATTTATTACATAATTTGTGTAAGATCTATTAGGCGAGCCCCGAATGTTGGGTGTTGGACGTGCTTAGGGCGTACAATCGGGTGCTTAGGATGTAAATCTTACAGAACTAATCCTCACATTTGAGCCTCAGAGCGTTTTGCTAGAACTCTGCCTCAAAACGAGTCAACAGAGTCTTTTAAAACACTGGATGATAGAGATAATGACAGAAAGAGAGAAAGGAAGAATAAGAAACATCTAAAAAACTTTAAACTAGAGGAAAATGTCAAACTTTCTTCAGAACTACCGAGAAAAAAAATCATTTTTCCCTCCTCCAATTAAAAAATTTAATCATTAATTGCGGAACATATGACATCACTGTAGACTAAGTTTTTGCTATTGTAACATTAGATTTTTTTAAAATTTATTTTCGTAACAAAAGGGCATATTTAACCATAACTATTAATGAAAGATAAAATTATTTTACAACACATAGTGCAGGAGCAAATTTGACCAATTGCCCTAAATTTTTTGTGTTGGGCTGTATACTTTTGAAAATTTTCCAAAAGAAATGTGGTATGACTTTTGGGTAATGTGTGTGGCAACAAAGGAAACAACCAACATAGGTTATGGTGTCATTGTGAGATTACTTCACCCATAATAAGATGTCTCGGATTCGGCATAATTAAGTCCTGTAGTTAGGGTTGTTTATGGTTATGACTAAAAGATCAAATCGAACCACAATCCGAACCAAACCAATTAAAAAAATCAATATTTGATGTGATTTAGTTAGGTTTGATTTTAAATTTTGAAAATCAATATTATTTGGTTTGATTTTAGTTTTACTAAAAGAAACCCACAAAAACAACCAAATCGAACCGAGAATTTTATATATATATATATATATATATATATAAATTTTATAATTATTTATATATTATTCATAAATAAAATATAAATATTTTGTTAAATATTACTCACTCGGTCCCAATTTATGTGACTTACTTTCCTTTTTAGTCAGTCCCAAAAAGAATGACACATTTCTATATTAAGTAACAATTTAACTATAAAATGTCTATTTTACCGTTAATGAAATGATTTACAGCCACGCAAATTTCTATCATTCATTTTGGACCACAAGTTTTAAAAATCTTCATTTCTTTCTTAAACTCCGTGCCGAGTCAAACTACCTCACATATAATGGGACGGAGGAAGTAATTAACTTACGGGTCGTTTGGTGTGAGGGATAGAACTAAATAGCGATGAGATAAGAAAATAGTGATGGGATAAAGTTTTTGTATCTTGTTTGGTTGTCATGTTTGGGATAACTTATCCCACTATTTATATCATAGTGATGGGATATGTTATCCCATATACGTGGTGGGATAAGTTATTCTAGGATAGCTAGCCCCAAGATAATTAATCCTGGGATAACTTGTGCCCAACCAAACGACCCCTAAGTCTTAACTTTACCGTTATCTCAAGCCCGACTATTAAAAATCTAAGACCAAGTTGATCAAAGTCCAGTACTTTAATCTTTACATACCCTACGTAGCATTAAATAGTTCACACTTTCACTTAATTAAATCACTTTGTTCGTGTAATAATAACTAAATAATGCTTAATTGAATCCACAATAACTTTCTTGTGGATTGTTCATGTATTAGGTGTCTGTGTTTATCGAGATACATATACTCTCAACAAATTTAATTTATTACTTTCAAATCGAAAAAATAAAAAAATCCGAACCAAACCAACAACAACCAAATTAGCGGGGTTTTTTTCGTTTGATTTGATTTGATTTTAGAAAATTAAAAATTGACTAATTAGATTTGTAGTTAATTTTAACCAATAACTAACGCAAATCAAACTATGAACACCCCTCCCTGCAGCCTGCGGGGCGCAATTCTAATTTAGTTAGGGGCTCCGGACACCTACGGATTGGAAGACAAAAATAAAATAAAAAAATAACAAGAACAAAGGAAACGGGCTAAACCGGTGCCCGATTGTACTCTTCCTATTACCGATGAAAAAAATCAAATTAACCAAAGAACCTAAAGGTACAACCCTAATCAGCACAGAAAAAATAATTCTGAACGCCTGAATTTCCCTGGAGGCCGACGAACTCGTCCCCGTCTCGTCATCGATCAACCTCCATCACCGTTCATAGCTGCCGGAACCCTAGTATAATCGACATGGTCGAGGTTGAGGCTTCTCCACCTGATCTCAACGACAAAGCCTCATCTCCTCACCACACAATGACAATGGTTTCAATCCTCAATTCCCTTCGATTTTTCATCTTTCTTTGTGCCTTATATCGTACCTCATTTTGTTGTTTTACAGTCAATTTTCGATTTCTTTGTTTTTGCTGAAGTGAAGCATCCACTTATTATTCATCAAAACTTTCATGATCATTTGGTTCTCTTTCAGTTTCTCGCTTCCTCCTTCTGCGTGTGTGTGTGTTTTTGTGTTAAATAGCTGTCCAGCTTTAGAATGCAGTAGCAATTTACTAGAATTAGAGAAGAAGCTTTCCTTTTTAGTCTATGTAAATAAGACTGTTAGCTTTCTATAATTAGAAATAACTTAGCTTTAAAATTTCGCTTTTATTTATAGTCACACGGATGTACAAGGCTTGTTTTAGACTAAAAAATTCAGAAGTCATTTCTTTCTTTAAGCTTTGTGTGTGAAGTCAAACGATGTCACACAAATTGTGACAGAAGGGAGTAGAACTCGTAAACTGTTTGGACGAAGAAAAACAGAGTTGCTTAAAAATGTTACTGCACCAATTGGAACTTTAAGAAGGTAGTATAGAGCACAACATCAACAACAACAAACCTAGTGTATTCCTACAAGTGGTGTCTGCGAAGGGTAAGATGTACGCAGCCTTACCCCTACCTTTATGGGGTAGAGAGGCTGTTTCTGATTGACCCTCGGCAGCCCTCCTTTATGGGGGCTTGGGACTGGTAGTATGAGCGAGCTGGCACAGGCAGAGTTGTAGTGAATAGAGCACATGATATTTATATCACATTCAAAAGATGATGTAGGAAAGTGGAACATAATCTGGGTACTGTTTAGCCATTTGTGTCTGAAAGTATGATAGTCCAGGTTTTCTGTCATGGAATTATGGACTTGCAAAGTACTAGTGGGCTTTTGAAAAGACTGAGGATATGAACCATGTAAATATGATAACTTTGTCTTTAAAGTAAGGACACTATATATCAAAGTGCAGGTATCAGCTCTGCTTGGCTGTTTTGTATTGGACTATCAGCATACTTCACAACATTGCTTGGTTTAATAGCATGTTATTCACAAAACAAATGCACTGTTTATTAAGGAAATTGGCAGTATGCAGAAATGACATTGAGGAGTAGCTGAATCTTAATGAATTAGCAGAATGAAGAAGCTAACATTTAGGAGGTGCTGAATCTGTATGCATAATACTGCTGCTGGCCTACAGACATGTTTTCAGCTGATGCTGTAGTTGGGAGCATCATAGCATATAATGGTCACATTTTCTAAATGTGGTGAATTTGTTCATTTGCTGTTCCGTTAAAAGAGTTCATTTTTTTCCGGATTCTATGTGCTTTGGCATCATCTTCGTTTTTTTTAAGGTGGATGGGTATTATAGGTAACTGAATTTCTCCATTCTTTAATTTAAGGTGCCTACTGAAGGAGAATTTGCAATGGGAAAGAGGAAGGATCAAGGTATTAGTGAACCTGAAGGGAGTAGAAAAAAGAAGAAAAAGCAAGTAGCCACTCCTCGTCCTGCTTGCTCTTGGGTGCACTTCAGGTGACTTGTTTATTTGAGTAAATACCTTATCTTTGTAACTTGTTTATCTAATTTCCACTGCTTTTGGACTACCATGCTCATCTAACACTGAGAATAATATTTTCAGCCGTGACTTTATTAAAGAGTATAGTGCTACACATCCTGAATCTTCAGGCCTGAAAGCTGTAAGAAACTATTTGTATTTATGAGATGCATTAGCGTACACCTGTTTGTTACACACAAGCCTGTTAGTAAGAGCACATCACTTTTCAGGCCACAAAGGCAGCATCAGATGCATGGAAGCTGATGGGTCCTGAGGAGAAGGCAAAGTACACTACTCGTGCCCGTGAAGTGTGGGATAAGTACCTGAGCTCAGCACCTGCCCGTGCTCCTAAGCCAAGAAGACAGGTTAAACTCCCTCCCAAAGGTTTTCTTTATTTGATGATTAAACTCATAACGCTAAGAATGTTTAATATCTTTGACTTCTTATGAACTTATTGATGGATTACTTATGCAGACCAAATTAGTCACAAGGTGTTCCCCTGGCCGTCTACTAAATGTCTTACAACGGCTCACACCTGACCAGAAGGAAGCTGTAAAGAGTATGGGTTTTGGTAGCATCCTTGGCCTCAGATGTCGGACTCTTCGAAGAAGTTTGTGTCTTTGGCTATTGGAGAGGTTCAATACTGTAAGACGTAGCTTGGAAATCTGTGGTGAGAGGATACCCTTAACTCCAAGGGATGTGGAACTTGTAATGGGTTTGCCTGCCAGTGGTAAAGATGTGGTGAACTCAGGGTCTGATGAATTGATTTTACAATTACGTAAACGATACAATGCCACCAATCGTGGGATTTCTGTCCGTCTTCTGGAGGAACGACTTGCAGCTCCAGAAGCTGGGGAAGATTTCAAAAGGTCATTCGTGCTTTATGTAATGGGCACTCTTGTGTGCCCAACTGCAAGGCTTGATGTAAGCCCTTCTTTCCTCCATTTTTTGACAAATATGGATGTACTCCATCAATATAATTGGGGCAAGTTCTTGCTTGACCGGCTAGTGCGGGAGATATCTCGTTTTCGTCAAGGAAAGCAACGTGCAGTTGGGGGTTGTCTTTTGTTTCTCCAGGTGACGGTGAATGATGTGAAATACCCATCTCTGTTTTATCTTATTAGTGCTTAATTTAATATTTCGTTGGTTTGCAGCTCTTTTACTATGAGAGTGTTGCTGTTGGAGCAGCATATGAATCAGCCCCTGTAGCTTTTCCTTGCTTATTCTCATGGGGTGAGGAGGAGATTAGTGAGAGAGAAAAGCAAGAGAAGGAGCTTGGTGGTTATGGTTCAGGGGAGGTACACTCCAATTGTCTGATTAAGTAAACCAACATATTCTCATATTATTCTAATTTTATTCTCTCATGCAGGTAGTCTGCATGGACAGAGGACTTGGGATGGGGTCATTGGGATACAAAGCCCAAACTGACAGTATGCCGCTGAGAGCAGTGGAACCAATGCAAGAGGTTTCTCATGCACAGGTATAGGAGAGGTGTGGTTTAGTAATTTGTTGTTCTCATAAGTAACCCGTTAGTCGTATAGTCGCAACTTGTAAGTATCAAGTAAGGCCTGGTAATATTTTCATCTACTTGGCAGGACATGGAAGATCAAGAGTATGAAGATACCTTCACAGAACAGGTGATCTGCCATCTAATTCTTGCTCTCTACTAATTAAAATGTTTTACCCTGAACTGAAACCTGGAAGGAGCACGTTGCTATTATCATTTTAACACATGACTTGCTTCTATGACCCAGAAGCAAATGATATTGTGACGTTAGAGTGTTTGGTTGATGCCTTAAATAATTGATTGAGTGACTAATGAGGGTAAACAATGAGTAAAATATCACAAACTAAAAAATAGTTATCCTAAACCCAAGTGCATCTGTGGATTTCATTTTAGCAGCCCCTAATTGCTCTTGTATTTGCTGTGCGTCCAGAATCCTTTTACTGATGCCTGAGTGGAAGTAGCACGTTGCTATTATCATTTTAACACATGCCTTGCTTCTATGACCCAGAAACAAATGATATTGAGATGTTAGAGTGTTTGGTTGATGCCTTAATTAATAGATTGAGTGACTAATGAGGGTAAACAATGAGTAAAATATCACAAGCTAAAAAATAGTTATCCTAAACCCAAATGCATCTGTGGATTTCATTTTAGCAGCAATACCCTAATTGCTCTTGTATTTGCTGTGCGTCCAGAATCCTTTTACTGATGCCTGAGTGGAAGTAGCACGTTGCTATTATCATTTTAACACATGACTTGCTTCTATGACCCAGAATCAAATGATATTGAGATGAGTGTTTGGTTGATGCCTTAATTAATAGATTGAGTGACTAATGAGGGTAAACAATGAGTAAACTATCACAAACTAAAAAATAGTTATCCTAAACCCAAATGCATCTGTGGATTTCATTTTAGCAGCAATACCCTAATTTCTCTTGTATTTGGTGTGCGTCCAGAATCCTTTTACTGATGCCTGAGTGGAAGTAGCACGTTGCTATTATCATTTTAACACATGACTTGCTTCTATAACCCAGAAACAAATGATATTGAGATGAGTGTTTAGTTGATGCCTTAATTAATAGATTGAGTGACTAATGAGGGTAAACAATGAATAAACTATCACAAACTAAAAAATAGTTATCCTAAACCCAAATGCATCTGTGGATTTCATTTTAGCAGCAATACCCTAATTGCTTGTATTTGGTGTGCATCCAGAATCCTTTTACTGATGCCTGAGTGGAAGTGTGAAAATGATCTTCCTCTGCTACTATATGTCATGGCATATTAAGATGATTTGATGTTGTAGTATCTTTTTCTGTTGAGTACGTCAATGTTGTAATATCACTTTTCAAATCTCATACTCTTACTAGAACTATACATACATAGTTCTCTGTGCATGATAACTAATGTCTGCGTTATGTATGTTTTTATATATGGAACCTGATATTGAATCATGGTAAATTTTACTTTTAAAGATCTCAGAACCTGAGAGGCTTACCCAATCGTCTCTTTTCTTTTGAAAAAAATTTCATTTATGGTACAAGTTCATTCAAGTATTCCCTTGGAATTTCAAGTTAAAAAAAAAAAAGTATTCTCTTGGAATTATTGACCAAAATGATTTGCTGGTACCCCCTTTAGGAACATGCACACACAGATAGCATAGAGGGGAATGTAGTCTGTGCAGAGATTGAAGTAGTTGCTGGTTCAGGACCAGTACCTTGCAGAAACATCAAGTATGGATGCACAGAAATTGTTGATTACTCAAAGAAAAGAGATCACGAAGAGGCCTGCCCTTATGCACCATGTCCATGCCCTCTCCAGAACTGTAAATTTGTTGATTCCTCCAAGCAACTCTCATCGCATTTCAGCAGTAAGCACTGGGATTCAGGAAGGCACTTTCAGTATGATTGCCCATTGCCTATCTCTTTGAGCAAGAAGGAAACTTTCCTTGTTTTACAAGCAGAAAAAGATGGGATCCTCTTTCTTCTATCCAAGGGAACACAAAGTATAGGGCATACCATTGTGATTACTTGTATCGGTCCAAGGTCATCAAAGGAATGCTACTTGTATGATGTTGTATCAGAAAAAGGAAGCAGCTCACTGAGATTGAAATCATCTGTTCATAGTTTTCCAGGTAGATTTCAAGGTTTACCCCCGGTGGATTTTCTCCTGGTTCCTTTTGCTCATCTGGATTCATCCGGGCAGCTAGATTTAGAGATTTGTATATGGAGCCCGAAAGAGCCTGGATCAGAGTGAGCTCTGTAGATGTAACATAGCAGCTTTGTTTGTATAATTGTATTTGTCAGAATGTAGTAATATGTGATTAATCAACATATTTGGAATACAGCTTCCGACAGACTTGCTGTTCATCAGGGCAAGCGCGAGTTTATTTATAAACGGAATGCAGGAAAGTTATTGATCATATTTCTGTCCATAGAACATTACAAGTTTTCTGTTAGGGAGGAGGCAATCTTTGTTATTACACTGCCCTTAGGCTGCAAAAATTTGTATATTTTCCAGTATATCATTGAGTGTGCTTTCGCGCAAAATCATGAGAAATTTAGCCTCCACTGTGTAGGATTTATTCTGTTATGCTCGTGAAGAAGCAAGCTTATCCTTGCCCCGACTGGGAGCTGTTAGGTGCTCTCATTTCTGCTAAGTTATTCGGGACCTTTGGCTTGAATTGTATGAGGCAAAACTCGTTCCAAAGTATAGTTTGGACTTCGGAGGGTGAGCCTCAACCCAATAGTAAGATGCAACTTAAGTCAACTAACACAAAAAAATAATCCATGCTACGTTACTCAATTTAATCAATATAAAACAAGATTAATTTCGAGATAAAACACAGTACTCCTCGCAAGGTATTACAATTTCGAGATAAAACTCAGTACATCAGAGCAAATGAATATCTATCAGAACTATTTTAATTTTTTTTAGAGAGTTTTGCATTATCTGAGATTTTGGATTGAAATAATGATATGATGTAATGACTTTACTTGATTCATATTTGAACAACATTGATGTTCAAGAACTAAACCACCACAACAATAATTTCTAACGACATAGGATCCATGTCCATCTCTTTTAATTAATACTCCCTCTGTCTCAATTTATTTGACACTTTTCATTTTTTGAAAGTTAAACCGTTTAAGTTTGACCGAGAATTTACTTACGGAATTTATTTTCAAATGAAATTTATATATTTTAAACTACGATAAAAAGTATTATAAGTTACAGTAATTGATAATTCAAAATGTTTAAAAGATATATATATATGAAAAACTTACGGTCAAAGATAGACTTGTTTGAATCTCAAAATTTGAAAAGTGCCACATAAAATGGGATGGAGGAGTATTATTTTTTACGTCTCTGTTGTTTCATGGACTTTCTGTGACTTTTACCTTTTCACATATCTAAATTATGTCATAGGATTCTCAATATTTCTTTTCATGTGGCCTCATTCAAGGTGTTTGTTTGTCATTTCTTAAAGTCTATTATTTCATTCACTTGTTAAATTTATGATAAGTTTTTATTTTAATATTTACTAGATACTCTCATATTTATTTGCGTTTTTATTACAGTTGTTATTGTTATTGTTGTTATTGAAATGTTGTTGTTGTTACTATGATTTTTAAAAATGAATTCTTACGCTTCAAAAATCTAAAATTAACATACATAACGGGCAAATTTTTGTTTCGACACTTTTTAATGTAAACTAATAACACATCTAAAATTGAAAATGAATCAAAAAATAGTAAAGAAGATTATCAAGAAACTTATTTAATATCATCTATTAAAAAAATAAGGTGATGGTACAAATTTATTACTTTCCTGAGTTTATTAATCAATTGTATAGAATTGATTTTTGCATTCAAAAAAACATAAAATTGCATCAACATATTTTTGTTTGATTTTTTTTTTTTTTTGGTTCTCCCTCCACAAATTACGAGGGCTATTGGACGAAATCAATGCATCACTTTACTTATCTCAAATAAATAATTAAGTTGGTGATGCATTCTTTACAAGATTTTCATCACATAAAAAAAGTATGTTAAAAAGATTTTGGACAGGTTTCAAATGAAGAGTTGTAACTTTGCTAGCAGTTCCACTGAGTTCGGTATAAAGCTGACTAATGAACCTGGAGGAATGAGAGTTGACAACACTCTTTATAAACAAATAGTGAGAACCTTGATGTATTTAACAGTCACAAGTTTGATCATATTCATGTTGTAAGTCTTATTGACAACACTCTTTATAAACAAATAGTGGGAAGCTTGATGTATTTAACAACCACAAGGTCTGATAATATTCACATTGTAAGTCTTATTAACAGATACATGGAAAGCCCGAAAGAGATGCAACTTCTTGCTGCAAAGAGATTTTTTCGCTACTTGCAAGGAACTACTAATTATGGTTTGTTCTACGCGAAAAGAGAAAAATTAGACTTAGTTAATTTTGCTAGAGATTCAGATGATCGGAAGAGTACCTTTGGTTATGTCTTTATGATGGATCGAGAGTAATTTCATGGTCTTTGAGAAAGCAATATCAATTACAGAAGTTGAATTTGTTGCAGCAATAACATGTGCCTATCAAGCAATTTGGATGGGCAAGGTTCTTGAAGAAATTCATTTCAAGCAAAATGGCTATACTACCATTTATTGCGACAACAGTTGAACAATAAAGCTCTCCAAAGATGTTGTAATTAGCATGAGTGTAGTATATATATTGATGTCAAATTTCATTTCTTAAGGGACCTCACAAAAGATTGAGTAATCATTCTCATCTTCTGTAGAAGTGAAAATCAAATTGTTAATGTGTTTACCAAATCTCTAAAAGTTAGCATATTTCCTGAAGTTCAGAAAACTACTTGGGGTTTGCACTTTGGAAGATCACATTTGAAACAAGTTGTTAATTGCAAGCATGATAAACTGATACTATGACTTTTAGTTTAAGGGAGGGATTGTTGGTTACTGTTTTACTTTTTTCAGTTGTTAGTATTTTTTATTGACTTAGTCTATATATAACACGTGAGTAGTTGGTTGAATAAAAATAACAAAATCTTTTGAGTTTATTAGTCATTGAGTGATAGTACGAGTTAGTGTTATCTTATTTTTTGTTAGTAAAACTCTATTTAAAAGAGTTCAATTGTTGGAATTCTGAAAATGAGAATTCAAGCCTATTGAATAGAGTCCAAGTATTTTTTGTCTCCTAATTTGTGCTTTATTTTTTTTCCATCACTACTGACAACCACCATCACTATCAACTACTACGTACTATCAGTCCCCATTACACCTACCACCTTTCATCATTATAGCACACATTGTCGTCACCGTCATCACCACTTCCACGATCATTATCATTCATTAGTACCACCACTGAGGTCAATCCATATATCAACCACATTCATCATCACAACTAGCACTGCCGATAACTATCACCAACACATCATCAATTGTCACACATCCTTCAGACACTACCATCAACATCGCCAACTACTAACATTAACCAACTTCACCATCTCAATCAACACTACCATATACCAACTGTGACCATCACGTCAGTCACTACAACACCAACTACCTCCACCTTTATAAATATCACTAGCACCATTGCTAACTACTAACATCAATCATTACCATAATCATCACTATAAACCATTTCCATCATAACCATCAAACATATATATTTCATTGTTTTTTGTCAAATAATGATATATTTTATTCTATTTAATTATTTTCTTATTTGAATTGTATATGTTTACTAAATTATTATATTTGCAAATATGTAAATTAAACACAATCTAATGTTAAAAATAAATAATATTAATCATTCAGTGTTCAAATTTAGATATAAATTCTTAATCATTCAAATATGCATTATCAAAACGTCTCCGGGACGATGGCCCCACCCAATTAAAGGGTACAAATTGTACTTTATACGTAGTCAAAAAGTATAAACTATATCCACATATAGCGTAACAGAATAATTGATGCCAAGAAATGGGAGCCAACCATAAAATGTCTTGAGAGCACATGATGGTGTTTGATATAAAAATAATACTAGTAGTATTTTTTAATTTTCCATTAATTTGTACCTTTTTATCTTTTCCAGGGACATTTAATTCAGACCATTGCATAAGGTGATAAATCAAGTAATATTCTCAAAGCTGCAGGGAATGATTGTAATAATTCTAAAACTTTGCTCAATCTGAATTTCAACGCTATAGTTATTAGGTTCTTTTTATTTTCCTCCTTATGTTCATTAGTGACTTATAGAATGTTCATATTTCAGATTTTGGTTGGCTAATATATATATTGAAGTCCTTTTTTTCCTTTGGAAAAGTAGAAAATATATAACATATTAAGAGCTAATTACTAGAATTGAATTCTGAGATACACCTATATCAGGTGAAATATTTTTAATGATAATATCTTTGACCCTCAAGCTTTGAAGAATCCCCTGCCGTGTTTGCGATGCAAGTATTTTCCGTAATATTTTGAACAACAATTAATACTCTACATCCTCTCTTACCCCTCAGTGAAAATTCTGACGAACCTTCCCTACCACCCCGGATAGGCTTCAACCCTCCTTGCCCATGCATCATGTTGACATCCCTTAATTGTGAAGTATTAGAATATACTCTTCACCTAGCCAGCCAAGATGGGATGTATTGGAATTGTATAATTTTTTTCCAACTTCTGGGAAACAAGCATCAACTGTCCTTCGTGCCATAATTTGCCTCCTATAGAGAAAACATGTCAAAATGAACAGAGGCGAAGTAAGAATTAAGAGTTTGGGAATTTTAAATTTTAGGACATAGGAGAAAAATATTGCAAATCATGCTTCCTTTTAGGACATGAATTCTTTTTTTTTTTGGTCACAAGGCAAAAGCTTTCCATCTTTTCTTTTTATTATATTAGGTTTTGTTTCATTTTTATCGCAAGTTGGATTGAACTAATTTGAGATTGAGACATAATAATTTAGAAAGGGAAAAAGGACAAATATACTCCCGAACTGACGTAAATGGTATGCAGATTTGTCATACTTTTGGGACATTGGTGCCCATGCCGTCCAAAAACTAGAGCATATATGCCTTCACTCTAATGGAAGACTAAATAGGGATACGTGGCGCAATCTTACCCGTCGATCCGATAATTAATAAATGTCGGGTCGATGGATAAGCTTATGACACCTGTATGTCAATTAGTATAAAGGGTATATATGCTCTAGTTTTTGGACACAGGGGAGCCAATATCCCAAAAGTATGACGGAGGATATTTGCATACCGTTTACGATAGTTCGGAGGTATATTTGTTCTTTTTCCTATTTAAAAAAGAAGG